CTGTGCAGTGTCATGCCAGAAGTGACAAAAGATGAGACGTTGCCTGCAACTGTGAGGGAGCTTTGCCTTCATCTCTAGGCACTTGGAAGGCCGTCAAAGGACTTACTTTCTGGTCTGGGTTCCATCTTTACTTTTGTCTGCCCTGGCCTCCATGTGTTCGGGAAATGTATGAGTGATATCTTCTAGCCAAAAACCTGTCACATATTTGAAAACAATAATGTTTCGTTATTTGAGTTTTCCTCTTTAGCTTCAGTAGTCCTGATTCTTTAGCCTTTCCTCATGGGGCCTCTTTTCCATCAGGCGTTCTGCCCTTTTGTTTGTGTCATTCTCTGGATGGTCTCAAGTCTTCCCGTGTACTTTGAAAAGTGCAATAATCCAAATGGCCTGTGGCTTCCTATAAGAGAGAAGCATAAGAAAATGACTTCTAGCTTCCCATACAATATTCTCTTTAATGTGCTGTAGAATTATAATTTGTGCTCCAGAATGACGTAATACGGTTGGCATATTTTCCAGCTTGGGGTGTGTTACAATTTCTAACCATTCCCCCTATTTTTACCAGCTGGTCTCTAGACAGCTTATATGAATCCACATCTGTTGATCTTAGTGTGCCAGTTAGCATTACTGTCCAGGGTCCATTTTGTTTTAATCATCTTAGTTTATATTTTACTGTAAATCTCCCATAAATCCTGGATTCCTTCCCTTCTACCCACAAAAAATTCTGGTTCTAGAAAATAAGGTGCAGGGTGTCTTCTGAACATGGCTTAAACAATGCATTGTCTACAAGTCTTAGAAGTAGCTAAAAGGCAAGCTCTGTGGATTATTTACAGGTGAGTTATCAGTGTCAAATCTAATTTCTGATTATTATGCAATTCCCTGTTTTAGGCACTCATCACTTTTCATTTCTTAAGGACTGTCTCGGCTCTTGGGCCTTCACTAGATTGTTGCTGTGAGGATTTGCGGAGTTATTTTGAAACCTATCAGCGATGCGTGACCTTCTGGCATCCTGATTCAGAATTTTCCATAATCTCCACACTACAATTGTTAAATTGTTACCTGTGTAAAGCCTTCTCCTTTTTATAATTGAGTAAAATTAATTTCCTTTCTTCCTGGTGTAAATGTAGTTGATCTCATTTACCCTTTGTTAGGAAATGGTAATGTGTTGATTAAATTAAGGGTTTTACATGGATTTGGAATAGTTTTATGTGGGGAGGAGCTGCCGGGAGATTTTCTTAGAGGCTGATAAATAGCAAAAGAGAAATAGAGAGTGAACACTGACATGAAGACAGAAATACAAAGCTTTTTAGAATGTGCAAGCAACCGTTAGCTTAAGGACATCAGTTACATATGAATTTTAGCTTTGGATTAAGAGTTTTCCATTGTAAAGTTCAAATGCTGAGGACCTCTGGGAATGATGCCACCATTTTTCTTCTGTTTAATCCTAACTAGAAAAGGTAAGGGAGGAAATAGTGCACAGGGTTTTTTTTCTTCCCATTAAAACAAAAATTGGTGTAAAAAGGAGTGAAGTTATGGAGAAAGCTCAAATCATTATACTTAGAAAGATTTCATTCATTAGAGAGAATACATTTAATAGAACAGTAACTTTTCTTTCCTTTCTTTTCTTGTGTGTGTGTGTGTGTGTGTGTGTTTATGTGTGTGTGTGTGAGACAGAGTTTTGCTCTTGTAGCCCAGGCTGAAGTGCAATGGCACGATCTCAGCTCACTGCAACCTCCACCTCCTGGGTTCCAGTGATTCTCCAGCCTCAGCCTCTCAAGTGGCTGGGATTACAGGTGCCCGCCACCACGCCCGGCTAATTTTTGTATTTTTAGTATAGACAGGACTTCACCATGTTGGCCAAGCTAGTCTCAAACTCCTGACTTCAGGTGATCCGCCCACCTTGGCCTCCCAAAGTGCTGGGATTACAGGCGTGAGCCACCGCACCTGGCCAGAACAGTAACTTTTCAATGAGCTTTCCCAACTGTCTCTCTGGTGAGAACCCTGTAGGGGATCCAGGGCAAGTCCTGCCACCCCCATCGTATAGTGGGGGATGAGCTTGGAGTTCCAAAGTAAGGTAGAGGCTGAGCTAGAGGTGAGCCTGTCCACATCTTACGTCAGCACCACCTTCACCCAGCGCCATCACCAAAGATCACATCAGTAGGATTCAGGATGGAGACCAAAAGAACCAAGAGAAGGCAGTGAAGTCATTGCATAATGCTCATTAGTGAGGGTAACCACTGTTTCAAGGCTATCTCTGTCCTAGTCAAGGCGCTGGTGACACACCGAATAACACAGTGGACGCAGCCTGACATATCCCACTGTGAGTGCCACCATGAATGAAGGCTAAGCTGAGAGATCTGAAAGGTGCAGTGAAGGAAGAGGGAGAAACTGGCAAGACAAAGGGGAATTCAACGGAGACGTGTAAGTGGCTCTTCAAATTTCATACACCTAACTGACTTAATGGCTAAAAACTCGATTGCTGTGCTTATTCATTTAGTCACTGATTTTTTAAAACAAAAGTATATTGAGCACCAGCTGCATGGCAGGTACCGTAGCTAGAGGCAAGAGATGCAGGGGGCATGGACATGGGCCCTGGCTGGAGCATCTTGGAAGGACAGTGGAGGCAACAACCATGTGGGTTGGGGCTAAGGTCTTGCCTGGTGGCATCTGAGCTCTCCCCAGCCTCCAAGTCTTCTCTCAAAGCCACAGCTTCATCCTTCTGCCCTTACCCCTTGCTGATTTGCCTGATACCCTCTCAAAACTCCCATTGCACTATGTCCTGTGTTACATGCTCCTCTGCTATTTAGTTTTTAGTGGATTTCTCTATTCTAGAGCATCCTTCAACACATCCAAAGGGCGGAGACAATGTCTTTTCCTGCACACGAGGCCTCCTCCATGGTGGGGAGTTTGTGCGTATTTTCATTTTTTGCCAACTCATCATCAGAGGTCGATCGCCCTCGTATTCACGTGTCCCTTACAATTTTAGCAGATCCTCGTATCCCTAAGGATGGATCCTTTCCTTACAGAGGCTTTGCATACCGCATTTCCCTAACAACTCTAAAAACGCAGGGTGCTTCTAGGAGTTTTGGTCTTCCCTTTATGGGGCTTGGGCAAGATCATAAACCAGACCTAAGGGTGCCCGCCTCTGTCAGGTGAAGAGGACACGGCAAAGCCACCTAAAATTGTCTCCTCCACTCGTTTTTCACATTATCTGAACCTCCACTATCATATTTACTCTTGTCACAGTCACTGTGTGAGAACTATAATTTTTTTTTAAAGTGGAAATGAGAAGATGAAAACGGAAAAGGAAAGCATCAGAATGCCAACCTTTGAGCCAAGAACTTTATTCAATTTTTTCCCTGTCATATGGAATTGTATGTAGTTTCAGGTTTTCTTTTAAAAGCCTTTGGGCTCTTGAGTCAGGCTTGAATCCTAGATATGAATCCCACCTCTGCTCATTACTAGCTGGGTGATTTGGGACAAGTGGCTGAACCTCTCTGTGCCTCAGTTTTCTCATCTGTAAAATGAGATTAACAGCAGCACCTACCTCAGAAGGTTGTTGTAGGATTAAATGAGTTAATACAGTAAAGTGCCTGGCACATAGTGAGCGCTCAAAAAAATGCTGGCTGTTATGAGGAAAGCAGGATATCTGGGCAGGATTGACAAAGGAGGATGGCCGCACAACCACACAGATTTCTGTCAGTTGTCTACATAGTAACTGTTGCTTCCAAGCAGCTCTCTGGCCAAGCCTTGCCCTGGGTACCTGTGCACTAAGGACATGAGGAAGCCCAGTGGAAAAGGCACGCCAAGGGAGCGCTGAGGTCTAGGCCTGGCCAAGCATCTCCATAAGGGGCCCTCCGATAGCAGGTGGGAGGGCGAGATCAGGGCGAAGGGGGCCTGTGAGGAAGAGGGGATCATTACAGAGAGAACCAAGGGGAGTACAGGGTCGACTCAGCCCACTTAGCACCTTTGCACCCGCTGGCCCTGATGACCAGCCACAATCATTCCATTTTGGGACTTTTGGAGAGGTGGGGAGGTCCTGGGCCCAGCCAGGATGAGACTGGGGAGTGTTCTGCGGCTGAGTTTGGCTGTGTAATTAAAGCCCTGGTGTCTAGTGCCGAGAAGAAAAGAGAAAACAAGCGCTGGAACCCAACTGGCAGATGTGCTTGTTGTGCTGAGAGAAATTCACAGAGCCTCGGGGTGCCATCTGGCTGAGAGCTGACTGTTTGGATGATGCAGTTCTCACTTAAGGAGGTGAAGCATCGAACTCCCTGGCCCTGCCCACCTGCCTTTGCGTCTGGGTAGCTGTAGGTAAGGACACTCGGCAGCCCCGACGTAATGACACATCCCAGTGCGCTCAGGAGGAAGCCTCCAATCTTTGTTCTCTGCCTAAGGAAAGAAAAACAGCTAAAACAAAGCATTCTAGGACTGACCTTTGGTACAATGCTGGAAATATGAAAGAAGTATAAATGTAACATTTTACATTTCTGAAATGAGGAATAATTATTAATTTCATATATGCAAAGTAAGCCCACTAGGCAGGCCTACCAGAGCAGTGGTCTCCAAATTTTGGGGTATTAGGTACCGGTTTCATGGAAGACAATTTTTCCACAGATGGAGAGCAGGGGGGGTGATTTCAGAATGAAACTGTTTTGCCTCATCCTCAGGCATTAGATTCTCATAAGGAGAACCCAACCTAGAGCCCTCGCTTGTACAGTTCACAACAGGGTTCATGCTTGTGTGAGACTCCAGTGCCACCGGCTGATCTGACAGGAGGCAGAGCTCACGTGGTAATGCTCACTTGCCCACTGCTCACCTCCTGCTGTGTGGCCCGGTTCCTAACAGGCCACAGACTGGGACTGGGACCCATCCGAGGCTGTGGACCCCTGTGCTAGAGACTCTCAGAAGCACTCTCCATCTCCAGATAATATTCTGTCCCTCCAATGTGAAGGAGACACAGAGCTTCCCTGATGGAGCCTGGCAGGTCTGTCTGTCTTCATACACACCCATCGTACAGAGAAGTATTCTGGACCCAGGCTATATCATGATCACTGTCAATTTTCAGAACGTCTTCTGGGCTGGTGAACTGTGGTTAGATAATAAAGAATTGCCGGTGAAATGCCTCAGGGTGTGGTTAGAAAAAAGAAAGAAAGAAAAACAAGTGGCAATATAGGGTGTGGGGGGAGGTGTGGGGAGGCTGGGTAAGTTTTCAACTCAAGAAGGAGAAAGGGAGAGGAGAAGAAATAAAAACTCTATAGCTCATCTAGAGTGAGCCAGATTGGATTCCAAATGCTAACACTTAATGCACTAAAAACTGTATAATTCAAACATCTCTCAGCACAGAAGACGGGTACCACGTGCGTAGCAAAACATAACTGAGCTGAGGTGAATCCCTGTCCTTAAACGAGGTTTATAAGCTAATAGTGGTGATGAAGGTGAGGATCTGAATACTCCAGAAAAGGAAAAAGATCAGAGGAGAGATGAAATGAGATTGGCAAATTGTTGATGATTGTTGAAACTGAGCAATGAGTGTTGGGAGGCGGGGATCATTACCTGACTCTTCTATCCAGGAGGCTGTTAGTGGACCAGGAAGTCAGGACAAGATCTGAGGTGAAGAGCTGGCGAGGAGTGAGACCGCCGCCAAGGTCCTCCTTGTTCCCCTAATGAGCCGAGCTCTTTCTCTTCCTTCCTTTTAGACAGGTTCATTAAAGCTGGCCCACTCCACATGACCTAGAAGAACTCAACCCTGAAAGGTTTGCTCCATGGCCCAGAAGGACAACCTCGGACACCACAAGTGCAGGATTGGAGAAGGCATAGTTGGCATGCAAGGTGTATTGATTTTTTTACAAATCGGAGCTTCATGCTTGCTGCCGAGAACATTTCACCGGGCCAGGAAGCTGCTGCAGGAAGTTTCCAAGTCCCCTCCTCCACACCTGGACCTTAACTTAGAGAGCGCTCTCGGCCCCTCCTCCCACCCCGCTGCACCCGCCCAGGTGGGCCCCACGGCTCTCCACATCCACACCTACCTGGGCGTTGCTCTCCACCGAGGAGGCTCTCCCTGCTTTGCTGTGCTTTTTTCAACCTTCCTGCAGCTTCCCTGTTGTGGGAGGCTGAGACAGTGGAAACTGACCAGCTTCCCCAAACAGGCAGCTCCCAGAAGGCATCTGCTCCGCGTCTGCTCCTGCTGAGCCGAGGTCCAGCCCAAAGGCTCCAATTAGAGCTTGTTAGCCAATTGCTGAAAAGCTGCAGGGGGACTCATTTGTAAGCACACTAATGAGACATCCCAGGATGGAAAGCCTGGTATTATTTTTAGCATTTCAGAGCTGACACCCCAAACACCTCTATAACCACCCGCCAGTCTGAAGAGGGAACAAGCAGAGCTCAGGGTGTGGCGCCCTGCGCGGGCGGTAAGTGGAAGGAAGCGGCGCATGGGGAGGGTGCCTTGGGGACCAGCGGAGCGCAGCAAGGGGAGGATGCTCAGCTCTCACGCCTGCTCTGTCTTGGACATAATGAAAAACAGTTCTGACACAAGGAGTGTATCAGAACACCACAGCACCCTCTGGGAGTGTGTGGGAAAACAAAAAACAAAAACAAGGGAGACTCCTACCCTTTTACCTCGAATGGTCCCTCTTAATGCCAGGCCCTTGAGCGTCTTGCTCTGCCACTGCATGGGGCAGGCGCAATGTGCTCTGTGATCTGTGATCTCCTTGCTCCATTCCTGGCAGGAGCTCTGCTATTGTGGGCTTTCACAGTAGGACTCCAGCCTTGCTGCACTCAGGCCTCACTGTCATCCAGTGGGCTGGAGCGGCCCAGCAGGGGAGCATGCAGGGCCTTTCCCTCTCTCCATGCCCTGGTCTCAGGTACACTGCTGCTGCATGCCAACTCTTCTCTGCTGCATCCTCTGCAGCCACTGGGCCACTTGTTTCTCCCAGGCAAGTGCTGAAGAGATACTCTACTCTTCAGCAGATTGGCGCACACCTATATTTAGCCACATCGTGGAATATAGTGACGATGATACTTTGTACTCAGGATACACGTTTTATCAGAGGAGTGTGATGCACTCTGCAAACATCACCAGCACAGCACCCTTGGGGAGGAAAGACTGTGCCAAGTCTTTCCAATCCCCAGGCTTACAGCTAGAGAGATTGAAGCCAGGGAGGTGGGGTGTCACCAGAATCTCTTAATGAGTCAGGAGGCCTGAACGGAATGATGAGGTGCTCCTGGGAGTTTTTCACCACACCTGCCTCTTTCTCAGCCTGCAGAGCCTATAGTTCCCCCTAGAGCTGGTCCTCTCTCCCTCCCTGGCACAAAACTGTTCCTTCACTCACACAGCTGTCCCTGTGCCTGGGCACACTTGTAACTTGGCTTTAAAACCCATCTGCCAGCTCAGTAGAAACACAGACATGCTGTCTGTGCTGGGGCTTGCATTGGTATCACTGTGGTACCTCAATGCTCAGGACAGATATTTCCACTCAAATCTATACCTTGCCTGAATGGAGCTATGAGGGTGTGACCCAGAAGAAGTGCTGTGAAACTCTGTGTAAAGAGGTTAGTTCAGACGCCATCTCTTTTATGACACAGGGTAACCAATCAGATGCTCCACTTCCCAGAAGTGGCTGGACATAGCCAGCTCTGGAGTAGAGAGACAAAGCTGTGGGCTGAGGGGGTCCTGCATAGGGATCCTCAGGGATTCCTTGGGCACAAGCAGGATCTCTCTTCTCAGAAAAAACCAACAATACCATATGTTAGAAGCTCAAAACCAACTGTTTCCTTTTCATTCTGTTATCACTGATAATTACTAGCTTGCCTTTGCAGCAGATGCAATGGATGTGGCAACATTTCTCACACCTTAGCAAGGCCGAAATGGCAAAAAGCAAAGCCAGCCAAAGGGGCTTTGGGTAGAGAGTGTTCTGTGTGGGGTTAGGACAGTGCTTTGGTTCTGGACACAGGCTTTATGTTCCCCAGACCCCAACATAAACCGCAATACGTACCCCGTGCCACAACTGATGATTGACATGACTTCATAGTGAGGTAAGGTCTATGTCCTTCTCCCTCAAACCCAAGCAGATGTTTGCAAATTCCTGTACCACAGAATATGCAAATTCCTGTACCACTAGACATGATGGGGTGTGACTTCCAAGACTAGAGTATAAAAGGCAATACCGCGTCTATCTTGGCACCTTGCGTTGCTCCCATGGGGAAGCCAGCCTCCATGCCCTGCACTCAGCAGCTCTGTTGGACAATCCTGTGTGGAGAGAACAGAGACCTCCAGCCTCCAGTCAGTCCCAGCTTCCCAGGCAGTTGTGTGGTTGGGCCACGTTAGGAGCAGACTGTCTAACCCCATCACGACTTCAAATGATGGCAGGCCTAGCCAACTCATGACTGCAATCGTGGTAGGGACCTCCCAGGCAGAACTACCAGACCAAGTCCTTCCTGAATTCCTCATCGACAAAGGCAGAATCATTTTTGTTTTTAAGCCACTATGTTTGGAGATGATGGTGTTATATAACTAAAACACCATGGGGCAATTCTTAGCAGAAGGGTGCGGTGAGATGATGTATGGGGGAGAATCAGTCTGGCCACTGTGTAGAGAATGGACTGCAATGGAGCAAGGATGGGGGCAGGATGACCAGCTATGAAAAACGGCCATCGCGGTAGTAGTTATGCCTACTTCATAGAAGCATTTAAAGTATTACGTGAGATACCAGAGGTACAGTGCCTCATAATGCCTGCCTCAGCGTAGTAGCAATGATGGGCATGTCTCATTTTATTTTGCTTTGCTCTATTGCACTCTGCAGATATTGTGTTTTTTACACGCTGAAAGTTTGTGGTAACCCTGTGTCAAGCAAGTATATCAGGGCCATTTTTCCAACAACAGTACTCACTTCATGACTCTGTATCACATCTTGGTAATTCTTGCAGTATTTTACGTTATTATTATTACATCTGTTATGATGATCTGTGATCAGTGATCTTTAATGTTACTGTTGTACTTGTTTTGGGGTGCCACCAACTGCACCCATATAAGACAGTAAACTCAATCAATAAATATATGTGTTCAGACTGCCCTGCCAATAGGCCGTTACCCCATCTCTCTCCCTTTCCTTGGGCCTCCCTATTCCCTGAGACACAATAATATTGAAATTAGAACAATTAATAACCCTACAATGGCCTCTAAGTGTTTAAGTGGAAGGAAGATTCGCATGTCTCCCTCTTGAATTCAAAAGCTAGAAAAGATTCTGCTTAGTAAGGAAGGCAGGCCAAAAACCGAGTTCAGCTGAAAGTGAGGTCTCTTGCTCCAAACAGTTAACTAAGTTGTAAATGCAAAGAAAAAGTTCTTGAAAGAAATTAAACATGTTACTCCAGTGAACACATGAATGATAAAACAGAGAAACAGCCTTATTGTTGATATGGAGAAAGTCTGAGTGGTCTGGGTGTAGGTTCAAACCAGCCACAACATTCCCTTTAGCCAAAGCCTAATCCAGAGGAAGGCCCTAACCCTGTTCAATTCTGTGGAGGCTGTGAGTGGTGAGAAAGTGGCAGAAGAAAAGTCTGAAGTTAGGAGAGGTTGATTCATGAGGTTTAAGACGCCATATCTATAACATAAGAGGGCAAGGTGAAACTGCAAATGCTTATATAGAAACTGCAAATGCTTATATGAAACTGCAAATGCTTATGCAGCAAGTTATGTAGATGCTCTAGCTAAGATCATTAATGGGGGTGGCTACTCTGAACAACAGATTTTCAATATATTCAAAACAGCCTTCTATTGGAAAAAGAAGCCATCTAGGACTTTCATAGCTAGAGAGGAAAAGTCAATGCCTAGCTTCAAAGCTTCAGGGGACAGGCTGACTCTCTTCTCAAGGGCGAATATAGCTGATGATTTCAAGGTGAAACAAGTGCTCATTGACCGTTCAAAAAATCCTTGGTCCCTTAAGAATTGTGCTAAGTTTACTCTTCCTGTGTTTTGTAAATTGAACACAAAGCCTGGATGATAACACATCTGTTTACAGCGTATTTTGTTTACTGAATATTTTAAGCCGAAAGTTAAGACATATTACTCAGAAAAAAACATTTCTTTCAAAATATTACTCATTACTTAAGTGCTCATTGACAGTCCACCTGTTCACACAAGAGCGTTGATGGAGATGGACAAGGAGATGAACATTGTTTATCTGACAGTTTACACACAGTCATTCTGCAGCCCATGGATAAAGGAGTCATTTTGACTTTCAAGTCTTATTATTTAAGAAGTACATTTTGAAAGGTTATAACTGCTTAGTGATTCCTCTGACAGATCTAGACAAAGCAAACTGAAAACCTTCTGGAAAAGATTCACCATTCTAGATGCCATTAAGAACATCTGTGATTCCTGGGAGGAAGTCAAAATATCAACACTAACCAGAGTTTGGAAGAAGTTGATTCCAGTCCTCCTGGATGACTTTGAGGGGTTCAAGACTTCAGTGGAGGAAGTCACTGGAAATAGCAAGAGAACTAGAATTAGAAGAGAAGCCTGTGAGTGAGACTGAATTGCTGCAATCTCATGATCAAACTTGAAGGGATGAGGAGTTGCTTCTTATGCATAACCAAAGACGGTGGTTTCCTAAGGTGCTGTGAACATTGTTGAAATGACAAGAAAGTATTTATTCAAATAACTTAGTTGACAAAAGGGTAAAATGCTATCAAACAGCATTGTATATTACAGAGAACTCTTCATGAAAGGAAGAGTCAACTGATGCCACAAACTTCACTGTTTTTTTATTTTAAGAAATTGCCACAGTTACCCCAACCTTCAGCCACCACGGCCCAGATCAGTCAGCAGCCATAACGTTGAGAAGTATCCTCTACCAGCAAAAAGATGACTACTTGCTGAAGGTTCAGATGATTGTTAGCATTTTTTTTAGCAACAAAGTATTTTAATTAAGGTACATACACTGTTTTTATAGACATAATGCTATTGCACAGACTAGATTATACTTTAAACATAACTTTTATATGCACCGGTAAGCCCAAAATATGTGCAACTCACTTTATTGTGATTTTGCTTTATTGCAGTGGTCTGGCACAGGACTCACACTATGTGTGAGGTATGCCTGTGTTAAC